TTCCTCCCTCCCTCCCTCCTTCCTTCCTCCCTTCCTTCCTTCCACCCTCCTTAATGACCCAGCCCATGCTTCCTGAAGAGCCGCCCACTTATAAGCACACACTCCCATCTTGCTGACCGGGAAGGCTGGTTTCCCCAGATCTCTCCTCCTCTAGGCGCAACATGTGGAGAGGGGGTGCATTGAGACGTTGGGGTGGTTTGCTTTTAGCTCTCTGGGAGGAACATCCCCTTTTGCCACAGGAAGCAGCATTGCTGACACTGGACCACAGTGCTCTCCTCCCGAGCAGGGAAACGGGGGAGTTGCCAGTCAACTACCAGTATGGGCAACTGCTGTGCCAGTTGGCATCCCTTTCACCCAAAGGCAGAGTCGGTCAGCCAGAGAGACGGCTTAAGTGGTAGTAAGTAAATGGTGAAGTAGAGGGGGGCGGGGCTGCTGGGTTTTGTTGTAGTTGGCACCGGCTTCCAGGTCTGTGGGTGGATGCTTTCGGGCCAGGCTGGCACTTGGCATTAGCAGTTCTGATGCCAACCCAGAAGGTCCTTCCTGCTCCAGCCCTGTTCGTGGATCTTGTCCACTACCGAGGTTTCCAGGCTAGCAACTTCTCAGACTTTTGTGCACAACACACCGCACTGGAGTTGTGTCACATTCTGAAGTTCGGGAGATTTTGATCGCAAGTGTTAACGCAAATCTGGCGGAAAAAAATCACGGTTGTTAACAGCGTAAACGTGATGGTGAACACAAGTCCAAAAATACATATTTTAGCGATTTATGAAGAAGTTTGGCTTTTTTTAAGTTGGCTTAGAGAGTCATCCTGCACAGATATAGAAAAATCAAAACTGCAGTATCAACAAGGGTGTTCAAGAGACACGGTCTTTGCTGATATTTTTTAAAAAACGGGTCTTTATTATATTATAAAAAGCCCAGATTTAATAATTTGTTAAAGGACTGAGATAGTTGTACATTAATATTGTGTGATTTTTTTTTTTTGGTTATTTTACTTTTATCACTATTATATGTCCTTTTTGACTGTTTTGCATCTTCCTGCCGAATTGTTTTAGTTTTGCTTGATAAATTTACAAAACAAAAAGTATAAAAAAGGCCCTGTACTGTAGCTTTGGGGATGGGGTGGAAATCCCCCCCCCCAATAAACCTCAGGTAATTTTGCAGTAGGTTTGGTTGCGGTTAGGTTCTTCCTTGAGAATAAGATCATAGAAGATAATAAAATCTTAGTCTTGCAAGTAATCTTTCTATTTCTCCCACCGTCCTTCCCCCAGTGCGTTTCTAACGATCTGGTAGATCCAGTAAATACCGAGATCCTGTAAATGAGTAGTTGACTTGTATTGGATTAACAGCTTCTGAAATTATTTCAAGAATGCCTTTTAATAGTGGCAGCTATTTAAATATTTATCTTTATCTATATATATAAAAGCAAAATACCGCTCACGCATCATCACAAAATCTCCAGAACTGTAAAGTCTACAAACTTGAAATTTGGCACCTATGTTCCTCTTGGCTTCTAGGTGCGCACTAAGAAAGGGTTTTTTGAAACGACCATCAGAGCTATTAGTATTTCCTATATTATTATTATTATTATTATTATTATTATTATTATTATTATTATTA